GGCACTTGCTGTCACTGCACTGATGACACAAGAAGCTGACTAGATGATCTTGGGACAACAACTGACCATTGGAATACCATTGTCAGTTATAAGCTTGATGGACCAGAAAGGGCACCATTGGTTGTCAAATCCAAGGATGATTGGTATCAAGTGCTCCTATGTGAAAATCCTTAGTTAAGCTTTCAGACAGCGTACACTCTTAATCCTGCTACCTTGCTCACAGTCAAATCAGAAGTCCCCCTTTGTGACCATATGGAAATTAAGGACAAAGTATTCTTTTTGTTTTTTCAAATTATTCTATTTAATTGTGGTACTGGAGCTTGAACTCAGGGTCTTGCATTTGTGAGAGAGACGCAGCACCGCTGAACTCAATCCCCAGCCTTGACAAAGTATTCTTTTTTTTTTTTTTGGTATTGGGATTGAACTTGGGTCCTTGCCCTTGTGAAGCAGATGGCAGGACCACTGAGCTAAACCCCTGGCCCTTCTTTTTTTTTTCGAATAAACTCAAAGGTATTTTATTTATTTTCATTAAGTTCATTGGTACATTTTAGGTATATAATATAGTTACCATTCATCATTGGGATCTTGTAGTTTTACATGATGTATCTTGGTTCTTATTTTTTCCCCATTTCCCTGCCCTCCCTTCACCCCTCCACCCTCCACTATTTACAAAGACTTTGTTTCCATGTTTTCCTTTTCTCATATTTTTTGTTTCCCTTCTTTTCTTTCCCCTACCCCTTCCACATCCCCTACTCCTTTAGAACTTTTCTTCTTATTTCATATTATCAATTACATATTTTGATCCTTAATTACAATCTAGTTTAGATGTGTTTTTTTTTACAAAATGGAGTACTACTCAGTCATAAAGAATGAGAAACTAGAGACAATAATAGCTAATGGATGAACATTGAGGCCATATGTGAAATAAATAGGATACACTTGTGTAAGTACCATATAGTTTCTCTGGTGTGAAAAATTGAAAAAGTATTCTTGAGCTGGGGACATCTCACAGATTACCCTCAAGATTCAGATGTTGGATATCTCACAGATGGAAGTAGTTTTGTGCTGGAAGTGGTCCGAAGGCCAGGGTGTACAGTAGTGAGATTGAACTTTGTGGTAGAGGCCCAGCCTCTGCCTACCAGGACTTCAGCCCCAAAGGCAAAGCTAATAGCCTTAGGAAGGGCGCTTTTGCTAACAAAGGAAAACTAACATTTATACTGGTTCCAAATATGCCTTTGCAACATTGCATGCACATGGGGCTATATGTAGGGAAAGAGGACTTTGACTGCTGGAGGGAATAAAACATAAAAAAAAAAATCTTATAATTCCTAGATGCTGTATGGGCCACAAAGAAAATGGCATTTATACACTACCGGGGCACAAGAAGACTGGAACATAGGAAACCAGAGGAAACCAAAGGGTGCACAAATAATAAAATGGGTACTATTTTTGTAGATAGGTGAGTTAGTTAGATATCTTCTAGGCAGTTAGAAAGGGCTGGCCTGGGAGGAGCCAACATTAAGGACAATCAAGACACATTCACTGAAGGCCAGAGGTGTAAAAGAAAGTACCACATTCATGCAGAATGAATAGCAGTGATTGATATTCTAAATAGGTATTACTCACCTTGGTGAGGGACCAAGATCTTCCAGGAAAGATCCCTAATCCATCCCTTACTGAAAAATCCTTGCTCAGTTCCTTGTATGCTTGCTATTGTGATTTGCTTCCCCATTTAACCCCCATTTAGTCAATATTTCCTAAGTGACTATAGTTGTCATAATTTTTTTGAGGGGGAATTGTTGAAAGTAATTCTACATAATCTTTGGGGAAAATCATTTGATTAGGCCTAGTTTTCCTGCCTACATGGCAGCTATGACACATGAAGACATAACTCCATTTTGGCCCCTGGTCACAGCTAAGACCTCAATTGTCCAATGATGCTGTGATGCTCCAGGACAAGATTACACCAGCTGAAGACATCCTGAGTGGAATAAAATCTTCATCTGCATAGTTCCTCATTGTTCTAGGATTTTTCCTGCTGCTGCTGCTACTGCTGCCCTCTGAGAGACCTTATACATTTGTTACTCTCCAGATGTATTGAACTCTCTGCCCTGAGTGATGTTTTACCTTTGCTACTATGATGTACTGAACTCTTTGCTCTGAGTCATTGGTCACTTTTGTTTTCTCCTGACGTGCTGAATATAGGTGTGGCAAGCTAGGGGGATTTCATCTTTGCTGCCCAGAGCAGCACTGATCAGACCCAAAGCTCAGCTTTTTCTCAAAGTCTCATTTTTTTCCTATCTTTCCTGGATAATAAGTTAATTTGCCTTGTGTTGTAGTGGCTCACAGGAGACAAGGACTTACTGCAGAGATTCTAGTAGTGTCCTCTTACCTGTTCCCACATGGAATATTTAAATTATTTTCTTCATAAAATCATTTTCTTTTGGTTCCAGAGACTGAACTCAGGACTCTGCACTTATGAGGCAGGCATGGTGCCATTGAGCTAAATTCCTGGCCCTTACTTGTCATAATCTTATTGGTTGATAATAGATTTGTCTACCTTGTGATATCTCACTGGATCAGTATTACCAAAGCAACTGTATCCACAATCTTACTAGTTGACTATAGTTTTATTCCTCCTTGACCCCACCCCACTCTTGGCTTTGTCCCATAAAACACCTTTTAAAAGCAGGATTGGTGTGTAGCCCATTTTATAGCTCCCCTTCTGTCTTTCTTAAGTAGTAGCTATATTTTTCTCAATACATCTTTCCTACTCTTAACTTTTGCTGTTCCTAGAATTCATTCTTTGACTTTAGAGAAAATGAACTTGTGTTTCAGATATCTAGAAGGCTTGTGAGTTATACTTATCCCCCTATATCACTACAATAACCCCACAACCTGAAAGAAGGACCCTAGCCATGCCCCATACCCCAAAATCTCTTCTCCTGGTGACCACAAATTACTCTTCAGATGAGAATGCCTGGTGTGCTTGAGAAACTAAAAAGTATACCAAGGGAGGATGATGGAAATTCTCTAATAGGAGACTGGACATCCCTGAATTGATGGCCCCTAAGTTTGTAAAACAATTCCATCAAGGTTCTCACATGGGAAAAACTGCACTAGAGGCATTGCTAGATTGTCATTTCTACATGCTGTGGCTCACTATCATACCCAAACTATATGTGATCAATGCTTAACCTGTGCTCAAAGCAACCTGAGACAAGGTAACGGTAATGTCCTATTTTCTGTTTCCTGTATATATGAAAAATAAAGCAGAAACTACACACAGCCTACTGGGCACAGAGCTCAGAAGGAGTAGAGCATATGAATCAGATATGCAAACAATTATTTTAAAAATATTCTTAAGAAATCCACCTGAGTTGGGATCAAGGCCTTCCCGTGGTCCTCCTCTGAGTCAGGTGCAACAAACAGGGTATTCCCCATATGAGATCTTGTTTGGTGTGCCATCCTCAATCATGAGTCAAATTAAATGTGATCTCTATGGCCTAGGAAAATTGACTTGAGGAAACAAATACGGGATTTGGAAATAGCCGAGCAAGATATCCATAGCTGCATACAAAAGAAAAGGCCCATAAGCTTAACAGATCTAGTATAGCTGATCAAACCTAGGGAGTTTTTTGGGTGAAGATATAAAATCCCTCTGCCCTAGGGCCCATATGGGATCAGCTAAAGCCAGCAGCCCAAGAGAAGTGCACCAGCCAGCAGGATCCAGACTACTCAAATTGGCTGATCCAAGACAAGATGGCCACCACTGGAAATGGCAGCCCTGCTGTAGTCATCCCAGAAGCTGACTAGTCTATGCACAGCTGAAGCCTGAGGAATGGACAGCCCTGCTCTGGTCACTCCAGACACTGACAAGTCCATGCAGGGCTGACACTTAAGGATCAACATAGATTCACAATGACAGTGTAAGTCTCTTATCTTTTCTGTTATAATTCTCCCTATTGGTCAAAAACACTCAGTCTGCCATAGAGAATCTGATAGATATACCATCAACCAGTTAATGGCTCTAACCAAGAATCTGCCTCTGCTCAGTAGGGAGCCACACCCTTATGACAAGAAAATGATAATTACAATGATATTGTCTATTAGAACTTGTAGAAAGCATTAAAAGGCAGAATGAAACAGGACTTAAAGAAAAATAAGTTTTCCCAGCCATGGGCAGTTCCCCCATCTTGGATCACCCCTTTGCCTGGTAGCTGTAACTCCTTGTCCAGGTACAGAAAAAATGGGCAACTATGTCCTCTAAACAAAGTTTACATCATCTTGTTATCACAAGATTCACAAGGCTCTGACTTCTTTCATGGCTAAGGTGCAAAACTGCCTTTGTCCCACTTCTGTAACTTCCCTTCCCATACCCCACTAGTTTCTTGCCACTGGAAAGGTCACCCCCTTTGACCAAATGTATAAAATTGAAGCTTTTCCTTCGTTTTGGTCCTTTGGATGTGAGTCCCTTTAGCCGGTGTTCACCTAAAATCATATCCTCCTGTTTCTTAGTGGTTTCTCCAGTCTTTTAAATTCTACAACTGGAGAAGTCACTCAGCATGAGCTATATCCTGGGAGGCAGAACTCCAGAAGGTCTTTGAGTCAGTTTTTTCCCTTTTAACACCCAACTTCTTTATATACACCAAAGAAGGGGCTTGATTATTGTTGATCCAGTTCTTTATTCACATGGGAAAGTAACACAATACAGAGTTTACCAAGAACCACAGCAGTGTGGAAGGAAGCCCACAGAAATAATTTTTGCATGGAGTGGCAAACAGTTAGGGGGAAGGATGCTGATTCACAACAGCTTTCTCAGAGGCAGGAAGCAAGGGGCCACTCTCTACAGAATGAGGGCACTTAATGATCCTGAAATTCTTTTTTTTTTTTGGTTTTTTGAGACAGGGTCTTACTATGTAGTTGAGACTGATCTGGAACTCACTATGTAGCCCAGGCTGGTCTTGAACTCACAGCAATCCTCCTGCCTCAGCCTCCTGAGTGCTGGGATTACAGGTGTGCGCCACCACGCCCGGCAACCCTGAAATTCTTTCTTCCTCTTCTCTCATTCCACCGTTCGGGGCAGAAAGCGAATCTGGTATGGTGGGGGTACTCTGCCCAAACCAACTTCCTTGGGGGTGAGGTCAATGTCCTCAGGAGCCACTGGGCTGGAAATGGAGAAGTTCTGAAGGATGGTGGTGAGGAACAGGAACAATTCAGCAAGAGCGATACCTTCTCCAAGGCAAATACGCTTCCCTGCGGACAAAGAAGATCACAGGTATGGGCTAGGGTGATGTTCTTTGCCCTGTCACATCCCTAATCCAAGATTCCTTTGGCCATTGAACAGGCATGATCATTACTGTGTAATTTGGGGTGGACTTGGAGGAGGCTCCCAATCCTTGTGATACCGAGTACATATATTTGGGTGGACATTTCCTTCATACATTTGGGTGGACATTCACTTCTCTAGGAGATATAGAAATTTGTAGTTTTGTAAGATTTCCAAAGGGTTCAGTGACCCCATAGGAGGTAAGGATCCATTTGTGTGTATGTGTAAGTACAAAAGTCTGTGCACATTCATGATTTAACATTTTTTGTGTTCTTCATATCTCATATGAGGATAATATTATCAATGTCATAGGGTTATCATGAGGTTTGACTTACTATTCATAGGAACTCAGACTATTAGGTCATATTAAAAAATCTATAATGTAGGGCTGGGAATTTGGCTCAGTGGTTCTGCCTTCTGCTTCGCAAGCACAAGGGCCTGAGTTTGATCACCAGTACCATTAAAAAAAAATCTACAATGTAGTAACAGCTTTGTGTTTGTTTCTTGGTGATAGGGAGTTTCTAGGACCATCCCCCATCATCTCTCCCACACCCCTGTCTCTGCCGTTATTTTGTTCTGTATCATTCTCCTATTTTACTATTGCTTATTGCTATGTGCCTGTCATTACTCCTTTGCATCTTTGCTCTCTCTAAACTGAGGATAGAACTAATGAGTGCAGGAATTGAATCTCATCCTACCACTTCACTGTTCTCAACTCTCACTGAAAAAGGAGTGAGGGAAGAGGCTATTCCACTTGTTCACTGCAGCCACTGATGAAACTTAAGGTGATTGACACATTACTGGGGATTTCCTTCTTTCCAAAAGATAAGAAAAGGACATTGGGGTTTCCCTGGGTGAAGCCTGTTTAATTTGACCTAAGGCTGCCTACCTATATAGCAAACCGGAATCATAACAATATGTAAGCAAACTGCAGCTGAATTGAGAATATACTTTTGTAACAGGTAACCTAATCTCAGCCAATCATTGCAGTCAGCCTTCTGGCTGCAAGCTCCTCAGACATGTGCAGACAAGGCAAAAGCAAAGGCAAAAGCAGAGCTTAACCAATAAGCCCTTTCTGTATGTCAATCCGTTTTCCCATGTATAAATATTGCCTGCCTGTGTTGCTGGGTAGAGCTCTCAATCACTACTGGTTGAAGATATTATCCAGTCACAAGTAGTTTCTTTGCTAAAATAAATTCCACCAAATTTATCTAAAGTTTCTTTTAACAAACCAGAGTAGAAATTAGCAAGGAAAATTACTCAGATTGTCCTCTCTGCTCCCAACCCCTCTAAGCATCTTAGTTCTGCTTGGGTTCAGCTTTTCAACCAGGCCCAGACAAGTAGTCCTAATAGAAGAGAAGAGAAGAGAAGAAAAGCACAACACCAAGAACATAAATATATGCTAACTGAATAATGAATGAATGAAAAATATAAATGATAGCTGAATGAATTACTTCACCAGAGGAGTACAAACTTGCCCTGCTGTATAGTAATGCCCAGGGCCAATAGACTACTATTAAGAAAACAAATATGAAAGCAGTCTAATTAGCTGCCAATATCTATGTAGCTATTTCCTTTTCTCCTCATTTCCCAGCAAAAGCCAATGGAGGAAGAAACGAGCATGCAGAGGGAGGAGCTCATGTGTGCCCACTGTGTAACTGATATCTAATATCCTGTCATCAGGGTAGAGAAAGGACTTCGTCCCTGACCAAAGAATCAACCTCATTGCTGGAAAGGGGGTTGAGATGGTTGGTCCAAGATTATTGACATTTCATTCCCATTGAAGTCACAGAGACTGGTTCAAGGATGGGCGCTCACACAATTTTGTTCAAAGAGACTGTAAGTCTTAAGGCTTGTTTCAAATGGAGCTTAGTGGCAAAGGTCCTAGTGAGTTATTTTCTGTAAAATCCTACAGAATATTTTTAGTTATGTGGTTCCTTTCTTTAAAACCCACCATAAACTTTATATAAAGTGTTAAGAACTATTCATGTGCTATTTCACAGATTTTTGTGCTAAATCAAAATGAAGAGACTTTAGATTTGATTGAGAAACTTAAAACATGTACATTTCTAATATCGCTATTAATTCTTGATCTCCAAAAGAAAACTCCATAAGTGGCCAGAAACAGAAATTTTTGTTTCTGTAAATAGGATTTTAAGTAAAAAGGCAGAGAAGATAATGTCTGGCTCTGAAGATTAAAGAGTATAAGCATGAATATTAAGAGAATAAAAACCAGATAAGCTTTTAAAAATACGTGTAAAATATTACTGTGAAGATGCAGATCTAAAAAATTTGTATTCAAAAGTTGGAGGAAAATTAACTAAAGAGATTCTTTGGTTTCTTTGGCTTTATGTGATTCAGATATTAAGTCTGAATTAAAACATTAAGAGTTAGCAGTCAAGCTGCGAAGTTAGGCAAGAATGAGGGCCATAATCAAATTATAACTCATCGGCAACAAAGTCAGATTATTTCTTACTATATTTAGTCAGATAACAAATGTGAGTCATAGTTTTCTTCAAATAAGAGAATCTTTAAAGGTGAAGAAATATTTAAAAAATGTACAGGAAGCTAAATTACAAGAAATAGAAAATTAAGATCTATTTGTGGGCTGTATACACAATGAAATGGATCTATCTATCTATCTATCTATCTATCTATCTATCTATCTATCTATCTATCTTAGCAGGGGTTGAACTCAGAACCTTGTGCTTGCTAGGCAGGTATGGTGCCACTGAGCTAAACCCCTGGCCCAAATATATATTATTCTACGTGTATGGATACCCTCATTCTTTTTTGGTATGTTATGGAGTGATGTTAAAATAAATGTGTCTTTAGCCAGCAATGTTTGCCCACATAACTGGAAGGAAGTTAAGGTTAATGCCAGAAAAAACTGAGAAGTAAACTAGTTCTCAGCATTGCTGTGGTTTGCGTATTGTTTTACTGCCTAGTACTGAATTTAAATTTACTTGGAAAGATTTCCACTTCAATAACGTTGGACACCTGGTGGCCCACATGGAAGCACAAATAAATAGGAACTGTGTTTCCTCAGTTAAACAGAACAAAACAAGCCAGAGTAGAGAATGAGAAGTTGGACAAATGAATGTGTAAAGACCTTTCCCAGTCACCACTCCTCCAGGGTAAATCTAAGCTCCTCCTCCAGCCTTCTAGGCCCTGCCCAACTCAGCTCTTCATCTTTTTTTCCTTTCCACAGCTACACAGCAGAGCTTTAGTTTCTCAAATGCACCATGAAGACTGCACCTTCAGTCTCCTAGCTTTTGCAGTTATCTCTGCCTGGAATGTTCTGCCCAGTGGCTGATCAATACTCATATAAGAGGTTTCAGCCCAGGAGAAGCCAGTTTCTTAGATAAGCGAGTCTTCATCAAGTCCCCCAAATTTGTTCATATTTCCTAGTTTCTTGTTCTCAAAGTCACCTTTAGAGCACTTGTTATGACAGATAATAGTATCGCCCCTGTAAGAATTCACTTTGTCCCAGTCGATCCTAAGTATACAATGGGCATGAAGTCATTAATTATATCATCATTTGTGACTACTTGAAGAATGTCCATCTCCCTGCTGCACTTTACATTTTCTGGGTCAGACACTATGTGATTTGCTTAGTACATTATCTTTAGGTTCCAACAGAGTGCTGGCTTCAGAGTAGTGCCAATAGATGAGGGTTGCTTGCTACTATTGTTGTTTTGTTTAGTTTTCCTTTTTTATTAGTATATGTTTGCAGTACAGGCAGTTTATTATCATCTGGGGACTGGGTACATGTACATAATACCTTTGGGTTCTTTTTTCCATCCCCTTCTTTTTCCATCCCACATCAGTCCCTCCTCCTTCCCCATTTTTGTTCTTCTTGATATTATTAATCATATCTCACTTTTATGACCTATAATGTTTACATCCATTGAGGCTGTTGAAGTTACTAGATTCCTATACATGGCATATTTTTATTCTACTTATTTCCCCTTCTCTCACATCCCCTTTTGCCCTCGTCTGCTGGACCCCTTCCCATTGCGAAGAGATCTATGTTCTGCTTTCTGTTTTCCATCCTTTATTATGCTCTTTGTTGGTACTATGCCTTACTCAAATGAGAGACACATATGTTTTTGTCTCATTAAAAAATGAATACTTTTCAGTACTGAGAATTGAATCCAGGTCTTTGTACATACTAGGAAAGAACTCAAGCACTATGTGACATCACTAGTCCCTTTTTCTTTTGTTTTGAGACAGGGATGTGGTAAGTTGCCCAGGCTGGTTTTGGACTTGTCAACCTCCTGCCTCAGCCTCCCAAGTAGCTGAGATTACAGGTTCAAACCACCATGTCCAATGGGTTTAGAAATTGTGTACTTGCCAGGGTCCTGCTTGTCTAGATGTGTCTTTAGGACATAATATCATACTGATGCCTCCTCAAGGTTTGGGGTGAAGATGGTCTAAGGTGGTTGGGTTAAAGCAAGTAGAATATACTAAAGCGCTCAGTATATCAGTAAATAAGTGCTTGACATCTTTTTTCTCAAGGAGAGAATGAGAACCACCTTCTAGTGTCTGGGAGGTGGGCAATGGGTCAGCTTACCTATGGAGAAGGGTAGAAAAGCTTCACTCTTCTTCAGTGCCCCCTTGGCATCCAGAAAGTGATCAGGGTTGAAGGTGTCTGGTTTTTCAAAGTAACGTGGGTCGTTGAGAGTAGTGGTCAGGATTGGGAATACTTCAGTGTTCTGAGGAAAGGTTACAAGATGAAAATATATTGCTATTCCCTGCCCTCCATACCCAAAGCATAAATAAATAGGTAAAAGAAAGCCGAAACAAACTTTCCCTATTGAAAAACCAACAAGAGGTTGAGATCGGGGTTTAGAAAACCAAAGAGGCTGACACAAAGATGTGGGATCCCAGCTAGGCTCACCTTGGGGATGATGAACCCTCGGAAGTGAGTGTCTTTGGTAACCATGTGGGGCAAACCAATGGGTGCCAGGTCTGCAAATCTCTGAATCTCACTGATGACTGCCTCAGTGTATGGCATCTTGGTTCGGTCATCCAAGGCTGGCCGGCGGTGTGAGCCAATCACCTGTTCATTTTCCTTTTGGACTCTCTCTGCACAGACAAGGGCACAATGAACCCCATGTCACAAAGGCACTTCAGCAAGGACCTTGTTTTCTTTGGACCAATGAGCCAGAAAAACCCTATAGAAAGGTTTATACCATTCATACCCTTGAAGCAATCAGCTGTGTCTGAGGGAAAGAGGAAAACATTAACAAGAATGCTCACCCTTCCAAATCCAATGAATGTTATAAATTATCTCGCTACAGCTACAAAACAAACAGCTACAAACACACAGACACAGATGCACCCCACAATTTGGCATGGGATTTTATATTAAGAACTCCAAAATTTCTCAGCTAAAATGAATAAGATATGAACTAATACTTATTATTGCATGCAGGTGGGTCACTTCTAGGTCCTAAAACATAACGGTGGAATAAATCAATAAATTATTCCATGAAAAACTGGATGATAAAAAAGGAGTCCATCAATTGATTTATCAATGCCTAAAGCAATAAATGAAAAGACTGATGAATGAATGAGATGAACAAATCATTGAATAGATGCATACTTTCAATATACCAATCATATATAGATCAATTAACCTATTAATAAATGGTTCAGAGACAAATAAATCAATAAACTCAACTTAGCAATAATCACACGAATGCCAGATTTATAGAGGAATGTATGAATGAACAAAGTAGTGAAGGTGTAAGTAATAAAATAACTGCATGGCAGGCCTGAATGATAAATAAATAAGGCATGAATAAATGAGTTATTAACTGAATAAATGAAGGAATGATGCATAAATGAAGCAAAAACTGAGACTGCTGATTAAGGAATAAAACCTAGTCCAGAGATAGATGGATCAATAGATGGATAACTTAATGAGCTAATGAATAATAATTTAGGGAGCAAACAAATCCATGGCACTTAGTGCATTGAACTATCGATGTTCAAAGGGTCAGCTCTTGAACCAATTAATACAAATAAATGAATGAAGCTATATGTTCTTTGATGAATCATATATAATAGGATCAGTCATACAGGTGAATTAATAAACAGATGGCCTGGTGGATGAATTATTCAACTTTTAAGTGTGATGGAAGAAGACAGTGAAAAACCAGGTCAACAGATTACTCATTCACCTGTCCATCCCCAGGACTGGCTTAGCTGGGAGTGAGTCCAAAGCCTGTAGAGTTCCTGGCATAAGAAGCCAGGGTTGCCTTTTGTCCGTGAGGTTCCACACTCCACCTCTGCAGCCCAAAAGGGGGTCACAAGACCTTCCCAACTGGCTGTCCCTCACCCACCTGTGACATGGGGGTGTTTGAGCAGAAACAGGAAGCCATAGCGGAGAGTTGTGCTAGTGGTCTCTGTGCCAGCAAATAAGAGTGAAAATATGGTAAAGACTAGGTTCTTGTGGTGGAACTCAGTGTGCAGGTCAGACTTGTCCTAGGTCCAGAGCAAGGAGAGAGGAGAGGGTCAGGGGAGATCAAAGCCTTGCTGCAGGAAGTGTCACCTGTCCTCCTTAGCACCTTCCCTGTGTTTCTGGGACTGAGATCATCTGGCTGCTTTGCACATCTCTGTACTCGTCTGGCCGTCCCGCTCCCCACATCTTTCTCCCTGTTTTCCCACCCTCAGATTTTCTTTATTCCATGTGTCTCTGTTTCCACCTCTTTTTATCACTTTGGCTTGTTGCTCACCTTTGGGCTCCCCATTCTCTTTTTGCCTCTGTGGGTCTTTTCTCTTATTACTTTTTGGTCTTTTGCCCTCATTTTCTTCCTCCAATAGCCATTGCCTCTTCTGTCTACTTCCCCATGTCAGTTTCTCCTTCCTACCTTTTCCTTCCTTCCACTTCATCTCTTTTAGCTTCTGCTTCTCCTCCCTTCCCTTCCCTATTCTCTGCACCCCATCCTCTGTTCTTCCTTCCCCTCTCCTCCTCTCCCACCTCTTTCCTTTCCTTCTGTTCACCTCCCCCTCCTCCCCTCCCATCCCATCACCTCTCCCAGATCTCACTTTCTCCATGCGGAGCAGGAAGGTATCAATGAAGTCTCTGGGGGCGCTGGGGTCCAGGGTTTCACGGTGTTCCTCCACACTGTGGTTGATGAAGGTGATGATTTCCTCCATAATTTTGGCGATTTCCCTGTGTGGTCCAGGAAAGTGTTTCAGGACGCTGGGGAAGAGCTCAAACATCTGCAAGAAAGAAGGGGCGATGAAGCTCTCCTGGGGCTCAGTTAGCAGATCAGAGAGCTGGGAAGTGGTCATGGGCCCCTAACCTCCACGAGGAATCTCTATCCCTCTCTTTCCGTCCTCTGAGTCTGCCTCTGTCCTTATTCTCCCCCACCCACACACACCATTTTGTCTCCCAGAATCTATCTCTATCACTTATTTTCTTTCCTCTGTCTTCTCTCTTTTCTTCCCTTCTCTCTTCCTCAGGCCTTCATTTTTTTTTGTCTCTCCCACATTATTTTTGTCCCTCTTCACTTCTCTGTTTTCTCAGGCTCTTGATCCTCCTCACTGCCTCTCCTTCAGTTCAATTCTCAGTATCCCTGTCCCTCTGTGCTGTCTCCACCCTTCATCCTGAACTAAGTGCATTTCTGTGCTCCCCAAAGGAGGCCATCATTCTGCACTGCCCTGGCTGCTCCCTTTACCCCCACCCTCTGGCTTCTTCCTCTGACCTGGCTGGAAAAGGAGCTGATGAGTGCAAAGTTCTGATAGATCAGGTACAGCAGCCTCAGGAACTGGCGATCTTTGTAGTCAAAGCGTTTTCCAAAGACAATGGAGCAGATGATGTTGGCAGTGATAGACTGGAAGAGGAACAGGGGGTCCACAAGGCCTCCTGGGGAGAAAGACAGCAGTTCACAGGACACTCAAGAGCCTGGGGAGCATTTGGCAGCTGTCCTTCTCTGTGTGACTGCCATCAATCAGTAATAAAAGATAAGAAGAGCAATAACACTCAGTGGCATGTAGTATGTGCCAGGCCGCACTCTATGTACTTCACGTGTTATTTTAAGTTAATTTCCTCCACAGCAATGTAAGGAAGATATAGTTCTATTACTACCCCAATTGTATAGATGGATGAATGAGTCACAGTTAAATGAATTGACTGAGATTAACACGGGATCCTGTGATTCAGAGCAGAGACACAGCCATCTCTCTCTCTCTCTCTCTGTCCCTAGGTCTCACCTGTCTTTCTACTGTCCTTCCATTGCAGACCTTTGCAGACCTTTCCAAGAGGCTCATCCTTCTGTTGTTGCTATCCTTCTGTCTCAGTTTCTCTCTTTATTTTTTCTGCCACGATGAGTCTCTTCCGCTCTTGTGTCTTTCTCCTTCCTTTTGCTCCCTCCAGGTCCATCCCTTCTCTTTCCTCATATCTGTCTCCATGTCACTCCTCCTCCCTCTTTCTTATCTGTCTCTCTGTCCCCACTGCTTCTCCCCAGCTTCAAACTCTCCGCATGCAATGAAGACCTGGCATGAATGGAAGGATGCTGACCGAGGAGGTGCTAAGAAGCAGTGCTGTCACCTCTACATCCCTGTCTCAGGGGATTCAAAGGGGACTGAAAATCCCTCCCAAGAGCAGAGCGCCCACCTGCCTCTTTCCTCACTGCCTGCTCATCAGCACTTCACTGAGGGAAGCAAAATGCAGTTCACTGTTTCACCATGCCTGCTGTTCCTTCTTTTCCCTCTGCTTTCTTTTACACAGGCTTGTCTTTGCTTTAGATGCATACAATTAACCCACAAACTGATTTCTCTGGACACAAATGAATAGCATGCAGCCACTGAGCCTCTTTCTCTGAGTTATTCTTGGACACTGTAAAGTTCACAGTTCCTTCCCTGCCTATCTGTGTTGCTTGCTGCTTATCTCTGTTCACTTCTATTCCATCTCTTTCTTACCCTATTGCTCTGTGTGTCTTTATTTCTACGCTTCTCTGCCTCTGTGTACCCCTGTTTCTATTGCTATGCATCTTGCTTCTCTCTCTCTCTCTCTCTCTCTCTCTCTCTCTCTCTCTCTCCATCTTCTCTCTCTCTCTCTCTCTCTCTCTCTCTCTCTCTCTCTCTCTCTCTCTCTCCATGTTTGTCTTTCTTTTCTACCCACCCCACTTCTCAAGACTCACCCCGGGATTTCCGCAGCTCCTCCACCAGACACTGAGCCTCCTCCTGAATCCGCTCCTCCACGCTCCGCTTTCCCATCCCAAAGTCCCTCATGGTGGCCAAGGTGAATCTCCGAAGGACCTTCCAGCGTTCCCTGCTGGCAAAGTTCAAACCTAGTGGTTTTATGGGAGGCAAGGGAAGCAGGGGAAGTTTAAAGAGGTTGGATCCCTCCCCACCTTTTTCCTTCCTTCTCACACTCAATTTCCCCATATCCCACCCTCCATTCCGCCCCACCCCGGTGCCTTTGAGGTTCTCACCATATCCCTGGAAGATAGCCTCTGTGGCAGCAAGTTTTCCCCGGCCAGAGAAAGCCTCGGCTTGGTCCACAAGGGCCTCCCGTATGGTCTCTGGCCCACACAGCATGACCACGGACTTCTGCCCCAGGTACATGGTGAAAACATCTCCATATTTCTCTCGGAGCTGTCAAGCATACCCATACCAGAGTCCCTATTAGTCAGTGTTCACACCAGTTGTTAAACCATGAAAACACTTAAATACGCATTGGTATGTCGATGAAGCCTCTTGGACTTGATTTGCCCCTCAGCTGCCTTGCTTCCTTTCCAAGACCCAGCAACTAAAGGGTTAATGTGTGACCTGGCCAGAGGTTGGGGACCTAGGCAGCACAGCTGGTTGAATATCACTAATCTCATCTTAACCTGTACCCTTGAGTCGAGGCACATCTCCTTGGTATCTCAACCAAAAGAATCCTTGTGTCTTGAGTTCCAACCGCATTCTGATCCTAAATAGTTTCCTGGAAGAAGAACACTGACTCACCCTCTTGGTAGAGAGGAAGGGAAAGTAATGGCCCTCTAGCACAGATCATGAAATTGGAAAATTTTGATCAGTAGAACTCCATGGAAATCTGCTAGGCAGTACAGTAGCCCCTCGGCATCGACAGGGAGTGCATCTCAGGGCTCCCTTGATAGTATTTGCACTTAACCTGTGTCCCTCTTCCTGCATATTTCAAACCATCTCCAGATTACTTTCATCTAACACAATGGGAAAGCTACATAAGAAGTTGTTTTGCTTTATTATTTAAGGATTAATAGCATGAAAATAGTCTGTACATGTTCAGTAGAAGTATGATTTTAAAAAATGTTTTGAATCCAAAACATTTATCTGTGATTAGAACCCACAGATACACAAGGCCAGCTGTATTTGTTGAAATTTAACAGGCATACTTAGTAACTTTACCGCCAAATACTTGCTCAACAAAAATGTGTACTTGTTCACACACACACACACACACACACACACACACACAAGCAAAAGGGCATGGAAACGCACACAGGAAAGGGAACTAAATTGACTTTTATGTCAAACCCACTCAAGTGATAATCACGTTAATCCACTCATAAGGCACAGCTCTCACGACATAATCACCTTTCAAACATCTCACCTCTCAACACTGTTGCATGAGATTAAGTTTCCAACTCAGAAACTCCAGGGGGATAGTTAGACTATAGCTTTGTACCCCTGGCCCCCAAAGTTCCAGTCCTTCTCACATGCAAAATGCATTCATTCCATCCCAATACCACCATTCCAGCTTCAACTCAAAAGTCAGGAGTCTCATCCATGAAACCAACGCATGATTTCTCCCAAGACAAATTCTTCTGGAGCTGTGAACTTAATACAACAGTGAGATAGGCATGGAATAGGCATTTCCATTCCAGACGGGAGAAATAAGAAAGAAGAAAGGTGAGTGGTCCCAAGTAAGTGCAAAATCCAGCAAGGAAAACAATATGTCTTTGTGATAGAAAAAAAAAAGCAACTAAAATGAAAACCTATACACTTAGGGCCTCCGTGTATGCAATAAAACGCTATTAAGAGGGAAGGCTGCTGGGTCTGTGGCCCCCAGAGCCAGGCAGCCTTTGCCAGGCCCTGACCAAGGAGAAGTCCTGCTGAGCTGCACTCGGTGTTTCCATGTCCTTGCTCGTTTCCCAGCTTGTGTGTGCATATGTGCTGAGCTTGCTGTCAGCCAGGTACTATGTTCAGCACTGTGTTTGGGTAGATGTAGCATTGCCAAGGACATCACCAACAAGGAGAGGCAAGCAATGCACAAGAGCTTATAGTGGCACCAGGGTGTGGATGCCACACCTATAATTCCAGAACTAGGGAGGCTGGGCAGCAGAATCTCCATGAGTTCATGCCCAGTCTTGGCTACCTAGGGAGACCCTGTTTCCAAAAAACAAAACAAAACAAAACAAAAACAAACAACAACAACAACAACAACAACAAAAGCATATGGAGAGGACCTGACCCTGAGGATCAAGAGTGACTTCTCAGGAGAAATGATCCTTACCTGCACATCTAAGAAACCTCAACAATGAGATGGGGCGGGGGGGTGAACACTAGTCAAGGGACAATCCATGAAGGATCTCACTTTGCCCCAAGCTTTTCCTGCAAGAAAACGGAAACATTTGCTGCAAGGGAGAATGGGCAACGCTGGGCGTGGTGGTGCACACCTGTATTCCTGTACTTGGGAGGCTGAGGCAGGAGAATTGCTGTGAATTGAGTTCCAGGCCAGTCTGCGCTACAACAGAGGTGTGAAGGAATAGATGAAACAGGGAAGCTCAAAGGAAAAGCAAAAAAAGGGAAGTTGGTTTTGGGGAATTTTTTTGTTTGCTTTTTTAGTTTTCCTCCTCTTCCTCCTTCTCCATCTTCTTCTGTTCTTCTTCTTCAGTTTTTCTTCTTCCTCTTCCTCCTCCTTCTCTTTGATACCGGGGATCAAACTCAGGACCTTGCACTTTCAAGGCAAGGTGGTAGCACACCTGAGCTAAATCTCTGGCTCTAAAGTTGAATTTTTAAAAATAATACTGAAATAATCCACCAAAGGACAGCATTTTAATACATAAAATTTTTAATTTGATTAGAAATTTTATATCTTGAAAGAACAAATGGCCACTCTTAATTCACAAGAGTCAAAAACTTACCCTCACTCCAAAATTATTTTTATTTTTCCAACATGAAAAATACCCAGAACCATCCCTAAGCATCAAAAAAAAAAAAAAATCTCCTTTCATTGTAGCATCAACCTCAGGCTTGAAGAAATTTAAAAGCATTTTTATGAAATTGTAGAAAGTTGACTGTGAAATCCAAATGTGAACAGTTGTTAGACACTGTAGGTTGTCTTTATTCTTCTGCCTTGGACCAACTAAATTTCATCCTACTGATGGCCTTTATCTGTGGTACCCTGATCAATTGACTCAAGAAGGAACTGCCAGGAATCGGGAAAGCACAGTTCTGGATGTATCTGTGGATGACTGATATGGAGGCCAGCAAAGAGAAGGAGGAAGACCACCCCGGTTGTGATAGCATCAGCCAACAGGCTTGTAGCATGGACAAAATGAAAGAAGAAAGAAGTTCCCTGTTTCAGAGACCTCCAGTCTTAGCCATTGCCTTTGGAAACCAGTCTCCAGTTTCTTCAGTCTTCTAATGCAGACTCGCAGTGGTGACTCTATAGCAAGCTTCCAGACCTTTGACTTTTGACTGGTGCTGCATCCTTACTCTTGGTTAACACTCTCATTTGGACAAATGGTCACACAGCCACTTTCCAGACACCACAGCTGCCTGGGAGAGCAGGCCTGGGCTTGCTGAGCCAAAAACTAAAACCTCCAGAGAGTATTCTAAGACACAGATCAGCCTGCCCCAGACTGGTGAGGCAAGCATCTTGGAATTGAGCTGGACCTCACCAAGCTGAGGTGGCCAGCAGCACCTCTATTTGAGCCAAGTTCCACATCATGTGCCTGAGAGACCCATGCTGGTTGTTTCAGGATCACCAAAGCTGAGCATCCAGTCTTCTATCTGGACCATTTACCTTTCTTCTTGCCTGTTTCATGTGCGTGGTTTGGATATAGTTTGAATATGTCCTCCAGGGTTTATACATTGGGGTTTCATTCCCTACATAGCCATGTTGAGAGGAGGTGGAGCCTTTGAAAGGTGGGGCCTAGTGGAAGCCATAAGATCACGTGGATACCACCCTCAGAATGCATTAATGCTGGTCTTTCAGAAAGAGCTAGTTCTTGAGAAAACAGGTTGCTACAGTGCAGTGTCACCTCACATGCTTGGACCCTTTTGCATGCTGTAGGCTCCCTTTCTCCTCTTCTGTCACAAAGTGACACAGCTAAGGCTGCTGTCACCAGAGGCTGAGCACCTGGGGCTGCCTGGTCTTGAACAGTCAGCTTCTAAAGCTGTGAACTAAATAAACCTCATTAAAAAGTCCCAGCCTCAGTTCTTCTCATATCAACAGAAAACAGGGTAAGTTGCCGTGAGGCTCTATTTTGTCTACCCAGATGGAGCACTTTATTGCTCATAGCCCCCCTTCACTTCAGCTCTTTCCTCACGTTGAACCACAGTGCAGTGCTTCTGTCCTCACTGCTGTGCATGCCGTGCTTTCCCATTCACCTGGGCCTCCTTCCTCACCTTCACCCCAGTGCACATCAGGAACTGTTTCTGGGGCCAGGGATTTAATTCAGTGGCACAGCTCTTGCCTCACAAATGCAAGGTCCTGAGTTCGATCCACGGTACCCGCCACTCCGAAGAGAACAGTTTCTTCTCCCCACTCATCCTCACTGTCCCAGTCTCTAAGGTTCTGTTTAATTCCTACCTCTTATGTCAATCCTTTCTGGGCCTTCAAATGATCTTAAAACTCCTATTTCTTCTCTTGTGTTCACTACCACCCAGAATTCCGTCCCCCGCACCAACACTGCTACCAAAAACTAAAAATAAAGAGTCAATATTTATCAATCAGTAAATAATCAATTATAAAAAAACCCACTGTTGATAAGAAAGGGGTAAGAATCCCAGGGTTCCCAGAGTGTGGATTCCACCGCAGGGAGAAGAGGAGGAGGAGCTGGATGTTGCTGTCAGTACTACAGTCAATGCTGATGAATTATTACCTGTTAAGTAGAAGATTAGTCAGGGGTGCTAGTGGATCCCTGCAATCCTGGCCACTCTCAGGACTGAGACAGGTGAATTGAAAATTCAAGGCCATCTGAGGCAATGTACCAAGAGCTTATCTCTGAGAGCAAAAGTGTTGTGGATGTGGCTCAGGGCAAAGGCCAAGGGTTCTATCCCCACTACTGCCAATAAGCACACAGTAAAAGTAGATCAAGAAACCTGAAATTGTGCATGCAAAGCAGTGGCACAGAGCGTAGCAACTGCTTGATAAACCTTGTTCTTTGTTTTTGCATTGTAAGCCTATTGTGAACTGAACATTTACTGTGCAACGAAGAAGCCTGATTTTATTCTATCAATGAGTTTCTTATTCATTAGAATTTTTATTAAAATTTATTAGAGCTTTTTATTCTATCAGTGAAGATTTACCCCCATTTTTATTAGTATTTTATTTTTGAGACAGAGTCTCATTGCATAGTTTAGGCTGGTCTTGACCTCATTATGTAGCCCAAGCTGGCCTCCTCGAACGCATGGCAATCCTTCTACCTCATCTTGCCCAGAGCTAGGATTACAGATATGTGGCACGATGCCCATTAGTATATTTCTGATACATAATAAATGTATTCATCACGGGGACTGGTGCACGCACACATCACATCTGGATCCTGTTTACTGCCCCTTCCTCTCCCCTCCCTGATAAGCACTCCTTCCCGCCTTTGTTTTCTCCTCTTTCTTCCTGTTTGTCTTCCAACTGATTTAGGCCAATCTTTGTTCTCCTGCTCACAGAGGCAAAGCTTTTTTGACTGGTGCCCCCGCCCTTTTTCTCTCTCTTCTAGGCAGTTGCCCAGGATGGGGCAGAGGAGAATGAAATTCTACACCTGGGGCTCACACCCAGACAGTTCTGTAAGCCCTCTCCCCCGCCCCCAGGACAGTGCCCCACACAGTTCCATCCGAGGTGGGACACCTGTGGCAATTTGACCACCATCCACCGGAAGCCAGGATCACCTCCTTTACACACCGATCTTCCTCACCCACTCTGAGCCAGAGAGGAGACTCTGCTCTTCCAGCCCAATATCTGTTTCTCACCTGCAGGATGGTTTTGACCAGGCCTTTCCTGTCCATCTGGAGAAGGTTGCCCAGGAAGGGCAGAGGACGTGGGCCTGGTGGGAGGTGGCCATGGGCCTTTGGGTGACCCCTGAACAGGAGAACCAAGAGGCCCAGGAGGAGAGCGAGGAGCAAGAGGATGCTGAGCTCCATGGTCCTGGTCTGACTGCCACTCACCCCTCTGCGGCCTGGAGCTGAACCTTTTATCCTCAGCCTGTGTCCTTGCCCAGTTATGCAACTGTGTCAATGCCCCGCCTCCTCTCTCTTTTTCCAGGAGCGTGAGCTCAGAAGAGAGTTACCAGGTACCCATACTTCCTGTTTGGGGAGCCCTGATAACATGCTCACTCCCAGCCTATTAGGCCCCCTTTAGAGTTGGCAGGGATACTGTGTAAGAGATGGCAGGGTGCACAAGAGTGTGTGTCTGTGTGTCTGGGTGCATGTGTTGTCAATACTGTGAGCATGCTTTTGTGTCCTTAGTTTAGTCAATAGACTGAGTTATTAGCATAAGAGTCTGAGGCCTCATTCATCCTGGCAATTACTCGGCCTTCTTTTCCCCTGTCTCGGTACTGGGGATTGAACTCAGGACCTTGCATTCTCAGGCCGGTAAGGGGCCACTGACCTAAATTCCCAGCTTTGAAACAAGTTTTAATTACAATGTTCTTCCAAAAGTTCTTTAAAAAATGAAAGAAAAAAAAAAAAAAGAACTTTCAACTCTCAAGGATGCCCAACGAGCAACATTGTCTGCACCTGATGTGTAGCCACCAGAGTAGGAGACGTCCCTGCCCAGTACTAGCGGGTATGAGTAGCAGGTGCTTCTTACCTTCCATAATTCAGGCTACACTGTTTTATTTCAGGAGTCAGACCGAAGCTCTGTGTGTCTCACATGGGCAGGTCAGGTAGCAGAGTTGGGCCAGAATTGCTCCTTTGTTAAAGGCTGTCATGGAGGCTAAGTCCTGCTCCGTGAAGTGGCAGGGCCCTGCTGAGTTAGGTGCAGCTGAGGTCAACATGACCGCAATTAAAATCCTTTCCCTTAAATTATCGCTTGGCACTGACCTTGTGGGTTGCTTGCTAATTGTGCCTGGTTCCAGTACTGATTTCTTTTATCCTAGAAGATAAGCAGTGCCGACTCCCTAACAGCCCTGTCTGGGGCCACCAGGTCAGGTGCTCGGCAGTAATTCACTAGATGACTTCCACGCTCCCTAGCTCCCTATTCCTTCTCACGATTATATTCAATAAATACTAGATGCAGGTGGGGGTTTTTGTCTTTGTTACCTAGAGCAGCACTGATTGGGACCCAAGACTCAGTTTCATTTTAAGTCTCATTCTGTCTACTCTTTAACCTTTAGCGGGTGTTGTGGTGGCTCAAAGGAGGATGGGACCTACTGCAGGGTCTCCAGAGACGTCCATTCCCCCTGATCCTTACACACCAACATCCTCGTGGCTCACCCAAAGCAGACAATCCTCTTTCTGGTGTATCGTTAGGTCAACAGGAGCCCACCATGACACCACAATTTCTATATCATTCATATCACCTCATCTGATCACATAGGCATCGTATAATCCCACATCATCACCAGGAGAAGAAGGTACGCACAGTACAATAAGGTATTTTGAGAGACCACACTCACATAAATTAGTACATTTTATTGACAGAACTGTTGTATTTTATTATAGGTAATTTTTATTAATCTCTTGATGTGTCTAACTTATAAGTTAAACTTTATTGTTCAGTGATATATATATATATATATATATATATATTTATGTGAAAAAATATAGTACATACAGGGTTCAGTACTCTGCAAAGTTTCAGAATTCCACTATGTGTCTTGGAATGTACCTCTCATGGACAAGGAGGGAAGATGATAGATAGGTGGGTGCCTTGCTTCACAAAAGCTTTTGTTTGCAAACAATTGAGTTCCCAAACAGAAGCATTTGGCAAAACTTTGTTTCTGTCTGCAAACCCAACATCAGGTGACAAAACACAAGTATGGCCATCTTTCCCACACAAGCAGAAACATGGACACCTTTTCCAAAATCATACAACAAATTTAAGTTCATGAACCAAGGTACCACCGTAGTTGCAATCTCTTAAAATGGCACCAAAGCAATTAGAAGTCAACATGAGCTTTTGGAAAGGACATTTGTGCCATAGTAAATGGGGTGGAAATTTTTGGAGGTCCCCTGAGCTCTGGTCTGGCTCCACACTCACTGTGAGCCTGCACCAACAGAGCTCCTGAGAGCAGCAGGCCAGATCTGGCACATGAAAGACAGTCCCCATGTCCATCTGTATTGGTCTGGCCTGCATTTCAATCTTTTATTTATTTATTTTTTGTGTGTTCTAGGGATTGAATTTAGTGTCTTCGCAGTGAGCTATAATCTCAGTCCTTTTTTATCTCTTCTATTGCTACAGGGTCTTATTAGGTCACAAAGTTGTCTAGGCTGGGTTTAAATTTGTAATCCTCCTGCCTCAGCCTCCCAAAGTGCTGAGATTACCAGTGTATCCCACCATACCAGGTTTGATTTCTCTCTTACTTTTTGAACTCTCTCTTTTTAAAGACACTTCCCTCTCATTAAGGGGAATGAGATGAGGTATGGGAGGATATGGGACAGCCTCATCTGAAGCAAACTCTTCACTCATGTGAAGCAAACTCTTGCTGAACCCAGGACTCTGACCTGGACGATTGAGTCATATTCCATTGATCTAAGAAGAGGAGGAGGCAAAGAAAAACAATCTTTTCGAGGTGGAACCTGCACTTTTCTGACCTTGGAGTGGGGCCATCACAGACCTTCCTGGTTTCAGGACCTGGCTCCCGCTCTGCTGAGTCATCTGACACTGAGAATGGGTCTTCATCCCAGCCTGAGACTTCCTGGTAGAGGGGCACGAAGTACTTTACACAGAGTCCTCACACTTTGAAGTAGTTATTATTATCCTTCCCTGTTTTCTAGATGGAGACAGTGAAGCCCAGAGAAGTTAAGAGTCTCACCAAAAGTCACACAGTAGGGTAGAGATATATTTGTCCGATATGCTAAGCAATGGCCACGTGTGTCATTAAACACTTGTGTGTGAACAATTCAAGTTTTTTGGTTTTGTTTGTTCTGTTTTGTTTTGAGTCAGGGTCTTGCTATGTAGTTCAGGTTGGCCTTGAACTTGTGGAGATCTTCTCCCCTCAGTCTCCCAAGTGCTAAGATTACAGATATGCATATCATGCCCAGCTCATTCAAATTTTAAATTAAATTAAATTTTAATTTAATTTACATTTTTTTTTTTGGTACCGGGGATTGAACTCGGGACCTTGAGCTTGTGAGGCAGGTGGTGGCATCACTGAGCTAAATCCCTGGCTGGTTTGATTTTATTTTAAAAAGTTGATACTCAAAAGGAAAATATGGATACAAAGTCTTTGTAAATAGGGAAGGGTGGAGGGGGAGAAGGGAGGGAAGGGATTTTTGGAAAAAAATAAGAAGCAAGATACATTATATAAAGGTATAAGTTCCCAAAGATGAATGCAACTGTACTGTATACCTACAATGTACCAATAAACTTAATGGAAAAAAAAAACAACTCATAAAAATGTTGATACTCAATTTAAGTATGTGCATTATCTTCTTCAGTGGTGAAGTTAGTAAAAATCTAGGACCAAGTCAAAAGCAAATTTCAAAGACATGATACTTGAAAGCAAAGGACAAAAGGAAGCGAGGGAGAAGAAATAAAAAGAATGGAAGGAAAAAAGGCAACACGGCTTTTGTAAATAAAGTGGGAAGAGACTCAAAGGGAGGACAGGGGAACAGGAATAAAAGAATATGCAGGGAGCTGGGTGTGGTGTTGCTCACCTGTAAATCCAGCATTCGGAAGGCTGAGGCAGGAGGAGCGCTGTGAGTTTGAGACCAGCCTCGGCTACATAGTGAGTTCCAGGTCAGTCTCAACTACATGTGAGACCCTGTCTCAAACCCCTCCAAAAATATGCACAGTATATCACACGTAGATATCATTTCCCTATGGTGAATGTTATCATTATGTATATCTAAAATGTTCCAGTAAAATAAAAAGTAAAAGTGTTTAACCCTAACCCTCTGGGGGAAAGAAAAAAAGAAAGAAAAAAAGAAAGAAAAGATACAGTGAGAGGCAGAGGCAGAAACAGGAAGAAACCAAAGGAAAAAAATTCAAAGATAATCGAGGGAGTATAATATAGAAACAGGCAGAGAAAAATTACATACAGTCCCTGTGAGGGAGGCACACACTCCAAGACATAGGACAGAGGCTCGTAGGGCACAAGTTGCCACCCTCTCAGGGCAGCTGAGACCCACAGGAACCCCACCCAGCCAGCACACCCACCCCATCTTGTCCTGCTGCTAATGACCAGTTTTTGCCTCTATTGGCCTCACTTCTCACCACAGAGGGCAGGGCTCCGTGTCCTTGTTGGCCTGAGTTTAAACTTCCAATGAGAACTATGCCTAGCCCACACCCTCTCCACAACCATCTCTTATAGCTCTCTCTCACCCAGTCACTGTGGTAGGATAACACAAGAAAACCTGAAGTAACGTCACTCTGTAGTCACTCAGTCTTTAACAATTAATCCCTTGCCAAAATGGCTCCTGACACAATCATCTCAAATACTGCAGGTGTTACACTGGATTTCTTCTCCAACTCTCTCCTGCTGTGTGCAGGGAGTCACTTTTGGAGGCCAACCCCATGCTGTTTTTTTCCGTGTACAACTCATCTTCTCTCTTCCTAGGCCCTGAGCTCGTCTGTGACCGAGTCAGCTGGTAGTTAGGGCAGCACCTTTGCTTCTGCCTATTAAAGGAAAACAGAACATAGAGCAGGCTTGGCGTCGGTAGGCTGCAGGGGCCAAGGCACCAAATCCACGGGCTTCAAAATTTCACTATCTAAAAACTAGTTCTGAGAGCATTTTGAAATGAATTCTGCAATCTGCTGGCTCTTCTGATAGCCTGGGCCTCCTCAACTTGCCTTTGGGGGACGAAAGCAGAGACTGTCCTTTTGGGCACAATCTTGCGCGTTCACCACCTGGGTAATTAGAGTTCCCGCTGAGTTTAGAGGGTGCCCAGAGCAGGTTTCTTGGTAGGAAGCCAGGGCTCTCCTTTTATGTAAACCCCTTGGGATTAGTGGCAGTCAGCTTCTGCGCATCAGATTCCCTCAGGGGTTCTCGGGGAGCAGGGTTTGGACACCCCCACC